TTCAGAACCTTTTCATCCCCCAAAAGAAACCCTGTACCTGTCAGGCGCCACCCCTGCCCCCGCCCCCCCGCCGCTGCCCCCCACCCCCGGCCTGAGCAACCACAGACCTGCTTGTGTCTGTGATTTACAGAGTCTGAGTCACATAAATGGAATAGCACCTGTGGCCTTTCGCAGCTAGCTTCTTCCACTGAGCATAAGTATTTTCAGGACTCACCACTTCATTCCTTTTTATGGCTGAATAATATGCCACCATGTGGCTCTGCCCATCCTGTTTAAGGAACACGCCCCGCCCGCCCTGGCAGCCGTCCAGCGTGTGCTGTCCTCTCTGAGCCTGCTCTTCCCCTTTTCCATTTCCTTGAATAGCCGCCACCTCCGGAGGGAAGGCTTAACGGAGCTGGCATGGCCGAGGGGGGTGGGGTGGGGGGCGGGGCGTGGGCGGGGCAGCCCCTGCCCAGAGTGCTGGGGTGGCCCACAGGAAGTGCCTTGGAGCTCACCTACAGGGCTGACGGTGCCCGCTGACGGTGCCCCCTGCCAGCGCTTGCCTGTCTCTGGCAGGGAGCTCTGTCCTGCCTTAGGAGTGGCTCCTGGCTAATCTAACGGCCAGCCCTGCAGAGGCGTGGGGAGGGCTCCCAGCTCCCTTGCCCCGAGGGCTCCACTGGCCGGAGGTGGCTGCCGCCAGCCAATACTGCTCCTCCCCTGGTTTCCTGCCCGACCCCCAGCAACGTCTCAGGATCGACACCGCACCACCTCCGCAGGCCCTGTCTCAGGGCTCGCAGTCCAGGAAGACAAGGTTTGTGCCTAGTCTGACCTGGCAAGGCCCCAGATGCTACCCTGGTCGGCTGGCCTCTCCCAGGCCCTCACCCCAGGCTCCCCGAGGGCCTTCTGCCCAGAGCTGTGCCCCAACCCCACAGGCCTCTGGGCTCGGCCTTCAGCCTTCCAAGTGCAGCCTGTGCTGGCCCGGAAGGGTTTGGTGCTCCACGTACTTGTCCCCAGGACCCAGGCGAGGGGTTCGCTCACCCAGGCCCTGGCTCGCGGCCCGTGCTCAGTGACACGCTGTCCTTCTAATTGCAGGCCTGGCTTCATGTCCACCGGGCCCCACACTCGTGTGCGGTCAAAGCGCACGGCCTCTCTGAGCCTCAGTTTTGGGAGGAGCAGAGGATGAAGCCAGTGCTGCTCTGTGGCTTCGAGGCTGAGGTGTGACAGGGACCTGAGAACCCTTTGTGGTCTTAAAACACTGGGTCGTTTTTCCCCCAGAGGTGGAAGGAGCGGGTGGGAGAGCAGAAACAGGGGCCGAGGCCCAGCGCGCACCCTGTCTCACTTCAGGGGGGCCCGGCGCGGTGTCGGGCTGCCTGAGCTCCCGAGAGCGGGGTGGGGAGGGCTCTGAGTTCAGATCGGAATGACTTGGCGCCTGTGCTTTCTCTACGTTGCCACGCGGCCAGGTGATGTTTACTTTATCCCGTGGGCTTTTAGGAATCATTTGGGCACCTTTTGTATCGGTCGGTCATGCCTGGGTCAGTTCCTGGCATGTAGTGGGCGCTCAGCAGACACGTGGATGATTGAGCGAGTGAACGAAAACCAAGAGGCCGTCGTTAGAAAGACCCACGGGGCACAGGCTCACTGCTCACGCAGAGCAAGCCCGGCCCCGTGTGGGCGGTGGGCCCCATGCCCCCCGGAAGGAAAGGATTGTGACAGGAGGAGCCTAGAACAGGTCCCCGGCATCCGCCGACCCGTGAGGACCGGTGTCTCCAGGCACGAGGACGCTTGGCCCCTCTGGGAACCTCCTTTGCGCCCCTGCTGTCTCACCAGGAAGTTCCTGTTATTTCCCCTGTTAAGTGAAGCGTGAGCCCGACATGAAGAGCGTTGGCACTTTGCCTACAGCATGGAGCACATGTCCGGGAGCCGGTGGGCTTTGGGAGGGACACGCATTTTGGGCATTCACACCAATTTGGTGCAACCTCCGGGTGCACGCCTTGGGGAAAAAGCTCTACGCAGGTGACGCATGCCTCCCGCGGTGGCCCTGCTATGACAGGAACTGATCCTCACTCAGCCTGAGCCAGTCAGGGTCTGTCCCCACCAAGAGGATGCCTTTTTCCACCGCAGGCTCCAAGGGACACCTCGGGCAACAAAAGCACCACTGGGATGCAGCTGCAGCTTGCGGGGCGGATTCCTCGAGAGTGGCACGTGGGGCGGGCAGGGGAGAGGAGGACGCTGTGCTCTTCTGAATCTCAGGTTTGTTTCCTTGCCTGGGGGCAGGGCAGGGACGGGGCTGCCTGCCAAGGACCCCCTTTCTTCTCTAACCACTGGCTCTGACTTGGCCTCCTTTGCAGGGGGAAGCCGCTGCTCTGTGACTGCAAGGCCAGCCCAGCCAGGGCCCTTCCCCAGGCCCGCTCGGTGGCGGGCTGCCTGCTGGGCTGCCTCTCTGCACACCCGCCCGTCCCCCGCCCCTGCGGCGCAGCCCCTGTGTGCTTGGACTCCGCTGATGCTGGGCCAGGGCCGTTTTCAGACCTGGTGCGTCCAGCCCATTGGGTGATGCAGCCTTGAGAGGAACATCACAGAGCCCCTCCAGCCCCTTTCCTCATCCGTCACAGGGAGAGAGGGTGGATGTGAGAACCAGGAGAGAATTGTGGCATGGGAGATGGTCTTAGGGGCGCAGGCATTAGCATAAAAAGTCTTTCTTGTCACCTATGGTGGTAGGTAGTCTTCTAGGATGACCCCCAAGGGCCCCCACCTCCTGATGTTCTTGCTGCAGGTGATTGCCCCTTCCTTGTCGGGGGCTGGACCTGGTGACTTCCCTCTAACCATAGGACACAGCAAGAAGGATGGGATGTCTCCCTCTGGCTTGTCCCTTCTGATGGCGCCGGCTGTGTATCCCGAGCTGCCCTGTGGAGAGGTCCACGTGGCTGGGACCTGAGGGCTGCCTCCAGGCACCAGCCCTCGAGGACCTGGGGCGCTCAGTCCAACGGCCCACGAGCAGCCGAGTCCAGCTGAGCCTGAGGTGGCTGCCGCCCAGGCCTCCACTGCGAGACACTGAGACACCCAGTACCAGAGGCATCGGGCTGAGCGACCTTCTGATTCCAGACTAAGGAAAACGGGGAGACAACAGCGCTGTCTTAAACCAGGAAGCTCGGGGGTTGTTTGTCACGGTCACATCAGCCCTGCTCCGGTTCCGCTCCCAGGCCCGCACTGCCCCCTGGACCTGCCCAGCTCAGCCAGGGCCCCAGGGCCCGGGAGTCACCCGCCCGCTGCTGCTCTGAGAACCCAGCTGCCCCGAGGCCCCTGCCAGCCCTTGCTCTCCTCAGCCTGGCTGGCTCCCTGAAAGCTACTGAGGGACACAGAGGCCGTCGCTACCCAGAGGCCGTCTGTCTGCGCCCCAGGGACAGCCTCGCTGTGGCAGGGACGGCACGCCGGCTTCTGAGGGGCAGGCCCTCCTGCCGGAGCAAGCTGGGCCCCTCCCCCGGAGTTATTTCCATCCCCTTCTGTGAGGGCTCCTTCCGTCAGCGCCCCCGCCCCCCCGCCATCCACGCCAGCCGCGAGGCCAGCGCACGAAGTCGGTGTAAATGCTTCCACTGTGCCACATGCCATGGGGGCCTCTGTGGGTTGGCACCCAAACATCGAGGAAATTCTTCAGTTGTAGCAAGGCAACTGAAGGTGGTGGCCATTTTTACAAAGGGCTGCGTCTCTTATTTTCTTTTTTTCAGAATAAAAATCCCACTTTTATCAAGTTTTAAAAAGCTCAAAAAACCCCAGAACATCAAACCCATGGACATATCCTGTGAGCTCTTTTTCTACCCTCCGGAGAGAGCCACACTCCTGCCCCCGAGCTGTATCCTCTTTCAAATATTTGCCAACTGATGGGTCCACTCACTGATTTCGTTGTTATTTTAATTGGCAGTTCTAACAAGGTGGAGCTTTGTTGGAAGCATTCATTGTTGATATTTCTCCTTTTGTGAACTTCTGGTTCGTGTTCTTGCCCCTTTTCCTATCAATGGAGAATTTAATCATTTTTTAAAAACATTGATTTAGGCCCCCATGACCTTCAGCCTGCTGGCGTCAAGCCTGTCACCGGTTAGGGTAGGTTAGGTTAGAGGCAAAAGAGATTTTGCAGGTGCAGTTGATGTTACTAACCAGCTGATCTTATACGGTAAGGAGACGATCCTGGATTATCTGAGGTGCCGTTTAATCACGTGTGGCTTTAAAAGCAGAGCTGTGGCAGACGGAAAGCCAGAGACTCAGGGTCACCTTACCGCAGCAACAGAAAACAAGCTCTTTTTATATTAATGTTACACATATGTTTTATCCGTGCTGTATTTTTTTAAAAAAGAATTTATTTATTTTTAGAGAGAGGGGAAGGGAGGGAGAGAGGGAGAGAAGCATTCAAGTGTGGTTTCCTCCAGCGCCCCCGAGGACCTGGCCCACAACGGGCCTGGCCCACAACCCAGGCATGTGCCCTGGCTGGGAATCACACCGGTGACCCTTTGGTTCCTAGGCCAGCACTCAGTCCACCGAGCCACACCAGCTGGGGCATGTAAGTATTTTTTTCGAGTGTGTCATTTGTCTTTAAAACTTCATCCTCAATTATATTTAATCCTGCCGAGTTCATTATGAAAGTTCCATTTTGGGAGGTGTCCTTTGTGATCAACCCCACGTTTCCAACACATGCAAAACAGATTCCTACGTTCTTCCCCCAGAGCTGCGAACTCCGTAAGTCTGGGAGGGCCCAGGAAGGCCCAGGAACTTGCATTTCTAACCGGCGACCAGGTGCTGCTGACTCTGCAAAGCCAGAGGTGGGGACCATTCTTAGAACACCCGTTTCTCCAGGACCCTCCCTGCTGGAAGAAAGCGGCTCCCCACCCCGGAGGGGCGGGGCCCAGAAAGTCCCGCCTTCAGACTGTAGAACTGCATTCTCATTGGCTCTTAGCGAAGGGCATTCCCCTACGTCACAGTGCTGGTCGCTCCTCCTCCCGAACGCCGGGGCGGGGACACTGCGCCTGCGCAGTGGAGCTCGGCGCTCTAGTTTTGAGCTTCTCCGAGGGTCCCGGCGGCGAGCGGAGACCTCATGGCGGAGTCGGAACCCCTTCTGAGCCGGGTCCGCGGCGGCAGAGGGCGCGACTGCCCGGCAGGCTCACCCGCTTGCCGCAGCGTCCAAGTCGGCCCTGGTGAGCGGCGGCCCGGGGAGGAGGCTGGGCCGCGCGGGGGTAGGGCGCAGGGGTCCCGGCTCAGCCCGCCCAGCGTCGCTCCTGTCACTGCGGTCGCGGTCCCACGGCCGGCCGGGAGCCGAGAGGGCCCGGGCAGCGCGGGGGGCGGGGCCAGCTGCCTTGAGGAGGGCGAGGCGCTGCGCCCTGCGACCCCAGCGCGGAGTTGGGGACCCGGCGGCGGCGCTAAGGCACTGCGGGGTCGTGCCTGCCCCGGACCAGCCGGGGCGAGAGGGCCTCGCGGGCCTCGCCGAGCCCCCGGTCGCGCTGCCCGGGGCATCCAGCCCGTCCTCTGCAGCCCCCTCGGAATGCCCGGGGCGGACCCAGACCACGTCCTTTTCGTGGATCGCTTTGCTGACTCCTCCGAGGCAGCAGTTCCACTTTTCCCGGTTCTTACCGGAGACACTGTGGCACAGAGAGGCGGGTTCCCCCGCCCAAGGTCGCACAGCCAGGAAGTGGCCCAGGGGGGATCAGAACCCAGCCCAGAGTGACCTGCGAGTCCTTTTGCTCGACTTTCTCACTCCTGGGCCCAGGAGGCTCCCCACTGGCTGGTCCTTTCCCGCGGGGGTTGGGGCCAGGCCTCTCCAGACCCCAGGGCATCTTCCTCCCGTCGCCCTCCGCACCTCCCTCCTGGCTTTCCTGTTTACCCGGGGAGAGATTGCTGAATCCCCAGGAGGGAAGAGGACTGGGAGGGGGGAGTTGCCGTCCATGAAGGGCCCAGCCTCCTTTTGCAGGGGGGGGAAACTGAGGCCCAGAGTGTCTCCCGGACCTGTCCAAGGTCACAGCCCTGGGATCTGGCACTGCTCTGGCACCAGGCTGGGTGCTCCTTCCTGCTCTTGACTCACTCTTCTCCCTCGGGGAGGGGTCTGTAGTGTGTGTCCATCCATGGAGCATCGGTGGCAGGTCGTGGCAGGAGAGATGAGGAAACTAGAGGTGGAGGCGGCTGCTTGCCGGCCCACCTCAGAGACTGTCCCCAGAAAGTTCTCCATCCAGCCCACGCCGGGCCTGGCAGGGCCCTGGACGGGGGCATATGGTGGCATTCAAGGGGCACGGACTTTGTGTCTTGGGGTCTGGGTGCCTTCCTCTGCTGCCGCTTCCTGGCTGTGTGGCCTTGGCAGCTTGCCTAACTTTTCGGGGTCTCCATAAATGAGGCCTAGTTACAGGTGCTGCCCTGGGGGGCATTGAGGAGTGCGAGGGAATCTGTGGAAGGCCCGCAGCGCAGGCCCGGGGCAGCCTGGGCGACTGGCGCTGATGGCTCTTCTGGGAGGAGTACTGTGACCAGCACGGTCCCGGCAGATGAGACTGCCCTGCAGAGGCAGGAGCCTGAGGACGGGGGGGTGGGGGGGGGAGGGGGGGCAGGGGCATGCACTTGGTCCAGGTGCTGCGGCTGCAGCAAGGGCTTCTGAGACAGTGAACAGGGTCTCCCTGCCAGGCCGCTGGGGGCTCAGGAGACCCGGGGGCAGCGGGGACTGAGAATGGCTCACTCAGCCTCTGCCCAGCTCCCCTTGCGTGGCTCCTGGATCGGGCGCCCGGTGCGCGGGGCTGCACGTCCACCCAGCACTCAGATTCTCCTGCCAGTGAGGGGGGCACTGCTGCTGCTGGGTGTCCCTCGACTCCAGGGGACCCTGCGGTCCCGTCCTTCCCACTCAGCCCCGCCTGCAGGCCATGGCCACAGGGTGAGGACCGTGGTTTTCTCTTCTTGCTGTTACTGGTTATGAAAACTTGGGGGGAGGACAAGGGATTGCTGTGCTATCAAAGGGGCTTTTTAGTAATAATAATAGCAAACGTTATGAAGTTACTGTGCATTGCGCTTTAGCTACAGTAGCCCATTCAATCTGGACATCTGTCTGGCGGCACAGGGTCTTCAAGGAGCTGAGGCGCAGAGAGGTTCAGAGGCTTGCCCAGGGTCACACAGGGAGGGGTCAGGTTGTGCAGCGTGGAGCCTGGAGCAAGAGGGACAGGGGGCTTTAGACCCAGATGTTGGGGAGGGAGGCTTCTGGCGGGGAGGCTGGTCCAGGGCTGATGTGGATGCTGTGTTTGGGCTCCTGTTTTCCTCTGGCTCTGTTCTACTCCTTCACTCCCACCTGCTGTGGCCACTGGGGGCCAGGGGGCTGACAGGGGATTGCCACCCAGGGTGGCAAGTCACTGGGCCACCAAGGTGGAAGACAGTGCCCTGGGAGTGCTCAGAGCCTGTGCGAGGGCTCAGAGGCCTTGGAGAGCTCGGCTTGGTGGAGCCACGTTCAGGGCGATGGCAGGGAGGGCCCAGAGTGGAGGAAGCAGCAGGAGAAGAGGCTGGTGGGCAGGGGTGGGGACTCTACGTGCCAGGCTGAGGGTGGAGCCTTTGTCCCGTAGCAGTGGGGACCCACGGGAAGCTGGGATGTGCACGTGCGGGTTTGTCACAAAGACCCCTCTGGCTGTTGCAGGATGGGAAGGGGAGGCTGGTGCTGGGGCTGCAGGCCTGAGGTTGGGCGCCCCGAGGGGCCGAGGCGTGGTGAGCTCAGGTGGCCGCCCCGAGGATTTTACAGACCAACAGCCAGAAGCCGGGCGAGAGTGTGGGAGAGTGCTGGGTGCTCAGCCTTGGCCTGCTGCGATGGCTTCTGGGGGCCGAGCCCCTGCAGCGGCCCCCGTCCTGGGCCCGAGCGAGCCTGGGCCCCCGGGTGCCTGTCTCTTCTTTTTCTTCTTCTTTTTTCAAACAAGATTTTATTTATTTCTTTTTAGAGAGGGGAAAGGAAGGAGAAAGGGAGGGAGAGAAACATCAATGTGTGGTCGCCTCTCATGTGACCCCAACTGGGGACCTGGCCTGCAACCCAGGCCTGTGCCCTGACTGGGAATTGAACTGGTGGCCTTTTGGTTCGCAGGCCGGCACTCAGTCCGTTGAGCCACACCAGCCAGGGCTCTTCCCTTCTCTCCTTGTCTCAGAAGCTGTATCTGTTGATCTTTCCAGGCTGAGATTCCACTTCGTCCCCGGGGATTAGGGCACATGGGGCAGAGCCGTGGGCCCGTGTACTGTGCACTCGATGGAAAGATCCTTTACCTGTTCAGACCCCACCCCACATGGGGCACACTGCCGAGGGGGGTCATCTTCAGGGCGGGTGCGGACACGCAGCAGACTCCTTCCAGAGCCTGGGGAGAGGGGCCAGGCTCTTTCCTTGACCTCGGTGAGCAGGGTGTGGGCCCCTCCTTCACCCCACGTGTTTGTTCTCTCTGCCCTCAGGGCCCACGACGGGAAGGGACCTGTGCTTGGACCAGGCTGTGGTCTTTATCGAAGACGCGATCCAGGTGGGCGGCGTCTGCCCCTGCTGGCTGGGCTGGACCTGGCCTTGCCCGCGGCTTGGGGACGGGGTGGTAGCTGCCCTGATGGCCCCTGTACTCCTTGCCGTCCTGGGGCCGAAGCCAAGGTTGGCAGACCACGGGGGGCAGACAACGTGACGGTGATGGCCGGGCCTCTGGGCACAGCTTCCTCGGGTCCGCCCCTAAACGGGGCACTGGGATCTCTTTTGAGCCTTGGCTCTATAGGGTCTCCGCCTACTGCAGGCCTGCCCGTCCTGGGGGTCCGCGGGGCGAGCCTGACTGCGTGCACAGTGGGACGGTGTCAGGTCATGTGGAGCAGCCTGTCCATGTGCTGAGTGGAGGCTCCACGGCCTGTGTCCCCGCCTGGGCCCGCACATGGCTGGCTGCGCTGTGTGCGCGGAGGGGACCCCGCTGACGCTTCCCCCTGTGGCTGCCCACTTCCAGTATCGCTCCATTAACCACCGCATGGACGCCGGGTCGATGTGGCTCTACCGCTGGTATTACTCGGACACGTGCCAATGGTGAGGGTGCCTGGCGGGGACAGGGCTCCCGAGACCTGGCTGGGGGCGGGGAGGCTGGTCCCAGGGCCCCAGTGGGCTCCCTGTCCCCGTGGTGGAGAAGGGGCTGTGTCCTGCCCTTGTTGGAACGGAGCCCGGACAGTAGACAGGAGGGCTTCTCTGGCGAGGGCTCCTTTCCAGAACATTCTGGTCAGCCCTGGCGATTGAGTTTCTGCTCGACCAGTGTCACCTGACCGCATGAGTGCTGTGGTCCCGCCCCGCCCTGCTGCTCTCCACCGTTCTGCCCGCCGGTCTGCTCTGTGGCCCAGGGAGTGGCTGGCTCTCCCACCCTAACCTTGCTCTGACCCCTTCCCAGGATTCTGAGCTTCGTCATTTTCTTGATCCTGTCTCTGGCTTTTATTGAAACCCCTTCCTCGCTCACCCGCACCTCGGACGTCCGCTATCGCTCGGAGCCCTGGGACCCCCCCTGTGGCCTGACAGAGAGCATCGAGGGCCTTTGCCTGCTGGTCTTCGTGGCCGACCTGTCCGTGAAGGTGAGGGGGCGCCCCTGGGGCAGCAGCCGGGACCCCGCGCCCTCCCAGCCAGTCCCGTCTGCTGCTTTTCCAAGCCATTTTGAAGGCCCCTGGAGCTGGCTGCCTTTTCCCCTGCCTGTGCCCTTTGACCGGCAGGGCCGGAACTGAGGCCTCAGTGTCTTAGAGAATTCGGAGCCTTGAGGCAGAGGCTCTGTCCCTCTTAGAGGGTAAACTGAGTCAGGGTGGAGCCGCCAGCCTTGGGGGAGCACTGGCTGTGGCCGAGGGCCTGGAAGTGAGGCGCCCTCCCTCCCAGGCCCACCTCCGCCCTGAGGGTGAGGGGCCCAGGGAGGGGCTGGGCCCTGGCCCCTGGCCCCTGGCGGGGAGGGGTCTGCTTCTCCTGCAGGGTGTGGAGACCCAGCCCTTCCAGAAGCTGGGCTAGAACTTCTGAGTCAGAGCCTCAGCCCCAAGGCGCAGGGGGCCCGTGTGGCCGCAGCCCGGGGCTCTGTTCCTTCCCACCGAGAGGGAGTCCGCGGCTCCTGGCCGGCCGCAGCGGGGCAGCTGTGGGGAGCCTGCAGGCTCCGGTCACGCGGTGCCTTTCGCCTGACCAGCAGTCCTGCCGGGGGAGGGGAGGCTCAGCCTCTGGGTGCTGACCGAGAGGGGCGTGGGTGGGTGTGTGACTGAGGACCCAGACAGTTTATTTCTTCATTTTAGCTCATTCTGTGGTTAGCAGGGCTTGGGGGTTTTCAGACTGGAACTGAAACTGGGGGGAAGCGCTCGTGAGCAGTGTTTGAATGGTCGGTGTGTTCGGGAAATCGCCAAAAGGTGACAGAGTGCACTTTTTATCTTCAAGCTGGCAGTGGTGAGGAGTAGCAGTTAGGTGAGGGCAGAGCTGGGGGCAAAATCCCACCCTCCCAGACGTGCTGCAGTGTCTGCGGCCTGTTTCCCGGTCTTCCCTGCGACACGTCTTGTGCCTTTGCGTTTTGTCGCACGAGCTAACTTGATGGCTGGCTGGATCGGCAGAGCGGGAGACCGGCGCCTGAGCTGCCAAGTGCCGGGCTCACGGTCACTAGTTGCCTGAGGTCACTGGGGGGCTGGGATGCGGCTGGCTTCCTGTCCCCCAGGTCCCGGGCAGACCTCACGGCCTGCGGAGGCGCTCTGTGCTCTGACACGCAGCCTTGCCACGCGCGCCCACGTCCTCAGCTGGCCGCCGCCCACCTGCCGTCTCCCTTGCAGAGCTACCTGGTAGGGTGGACCCAGTTCCGGAGGAGTCTCTGGCTGCTGGCCTACCTTGTGGTGCTGGCTGTGTCTCTCGTGGACTGGACGGTGTCGCTGGGTCTCGTGTGCCAGGAGGTAGGTGGTGCGGGCCTCCGAGGCGGGAGTGGGGGCCTCGGGGCAGGCCGCAGGGCGGAGCTGCCGGTGGGGTGGGGGGTGGCGGGCGGGGTCCGGAGGCGCTGTGCCCATCGCAGCATCCGCCAGCCTAGCTTCGCCGCCCTGCGCAACCGTCAGTCGCGCATTGCCTGGGGAGCTGTCCCCACTCTGCAGGTGACAGTGAGGTCCGGGAGGAGGCACGAGGGCTTGATACCCACCTCACTCCTTTTTGGCTCATTCTCCGCCTGGCTGGGTCCCCCGTGGAAGCACCCCCCTCCTCCTGGGGCCTTGTCCTCACCACATGCCCAGAGCTGGCACCCCGAGAGTAGAGCCCCCAGAGTGCAGGTGGCCCAGCCTCTGGCGGCAGCACCCATGTCTCCCCGCAGAGCTCCCAGGAGCATAGTTGGTTTGGCGACACCCGTGCCCGTGAGGGCTCGTTGGGGACGCAGAAGCCCAGGCACCCCGCAGGTGCTTTGGTGGGGAGAGTCGAATGTAGGGACTTCAGCAGGTGCCGAGAAACTGAAAGAGTGTAACGGGGCCCCGCGGAAATCGGGTGGGCTGCGGGAACCCCCTCCCACCGGCTCTGGAGCTGGGACCTGCCCTCTGACCTCTGGGGAGGGGGCCTTGCCTGGCAGGTGCCGGCGTCGCCCAGAGGCTCAGTGAGGTTGGCCCGGGGGGGCACAGGAAGCATAGGGAGGCTGGCCGTGCCGGCGCCGCGGGAACGACCCTTGAACAGAAAGGCCCACGTCCCTTCTCCGGCCTGCTGGTCCCTTATGGCCCCATGGGCAGAGCGCAGCGGGGAGCAGCTGCCAGTGGGGGTCCCAGCACCCACACGCCCCTCCCGCCGCCGGGAGAGCACCCACAGCTTGTGTTTTCCCTAATACGGAGCTGCCCTCCCTCCCGCAACGGAAGAGCCCCAGCCCCGAAGGGAGCCGGGACCGCCCAGCCTCCGCGCTTCCTGAGGGATGGTCATTGTGTCCCCCTGGGCAGCCGCACCCCAGGCTGTGCTGGGCACCGTCCGCCTTGCGGGCACCCGCCCCTTGTCAGGAACAGTTAGGGCGTGTCTCTGGTGGGAGCTCCGGCTTTAGAAACTGGCAGTTCCCGACCAGGGGGGGCGGTGACACGTCAGCCTTGTGTTTCTAAGTCAAGACTCCGTAGGATGCAGGTCTGGGGAGGAAAGTCTGGGTTACAGGGTGAACTTGGGGGCCCAGAGCATCAATGTGGGGCTGAAAACCACCAGGCCTCCAGGGCGTCGGGCTGGAGAGCGGGGAGGCGGGGCTCGGGCCAGGCGTGCAGACGGCCTGAGGCACCGGGTGGGGGGCAGGTGGCGGCGGGTCCCTGCCGTGCAGGTGGGCACGGGTGGACGGAAGGCCGTCCTGGGCTCTGAGGCCTGCAGGTTGCCATAGGTGGGTCCCGCGCCCCAGACGGGGGGCCTGATTGGCTGGGACAGGGGCAGGGACACATAGGAGGAGTGAAGGGCCAGTGTCACTTTGTGTGAGCGGAAGGTGCTCGGGCTAGCGGGGTGGTGAGTGGAGGAGGGAGAAGGGGCCTGAGGGAGTGGGCCACGGGGCACTTTGGTTCTGACAGGGTGAGTGAGGGGAAGGCGGGGCTGTGTGTGCACCTGCTTGTGCATGTGTGCGTGCAGGGTGGGTGCGGGCTTCCTGAGCAGCTTGCTTCTCTGGGGGCGCTGAGGGGAGAGGAGGCAAGGGATAGCCCCCAGAGGTGGGACAGCCCCCAGGGCCAGAGCCAAGGGGAGGCTGCTCCGGGGGCTGTGTGGGCCGCCCTGCCGTGGGGGGACACGGGACCTTTGTCTGCGGGGCTGGGCGGGCTGGAGCAGCGAGGACGTCTGAGTGCGGAGCCAGGGCTGTGACCAGGAGCCAGGTCTCTGCCGTTGGCACAGCTCCCGTGGCAGGTGTGGGTGGGGCCGGAGCGCCCGGGCCGGCCGGGCATTCAGGGTGCTGGTCTCCTGCAGCCCCTGCGGCTCCGGCGGCTCCTGCGGCCCTTCTTCCTGCTGCAGAACTCCTCCATGATGAAGAAGATGCTCAAGTGCATCCGGTGGTCGCTGCCGGAGATGGCCAGGTGGGCTGTGCTGCCGCCTGCCCGGCGGTCCGGGCTGGGGCTCCCCCGCTGGCCCTGGGTCCCTGGCTCCTCCCCTGGACGGCTGCGGCCATCGCGCTCTCGCCCTGGGTCCCCGCAGCCCCTCAGGGACCCCGCGTCCGAGTCCGGGTGCCCCCGCCTCGTCCCCACCGCGGCTGCTCCCCTCCCTCCTGCTCGCCTTCCATCCCTCCCCCACTTGTCCCCCGCCCCCAGTCCCCTCCCCCAGTGGCCTGTGTGGCTGGCCCCTGGCCGCGCCGTCTAGGTGGATGGAAGTGGGCTTTCTCCTCAGAGTCCCTGGGGTCCCTGGACCCCCCTGGACATGTCTCTGCCAAGGACAGAGACCTGGTTGAGGTGCGGGGCAGGCTGCGGGGCGGAGGGGAGGGCCTGCCCTCGGGCGGCCAGCTCCGGGGCCCCCAGCGCCGGGGCCCCCTCGGGGTTGGCGGAGGGCGACCGACCGGTGCTGAGTGCTGTGTCGCCGCCCCCGCCCCGCCCCAGCGTCGTGCTGCTGCTGGCTCTGCACCTGTGCGTCTTCACCATGCTCGGGATGCTGCTCTTCACCGGCGAGAAGGTACCCGCCTCGCCGCTCCGCGCGGGTTCGGTTGAAGGGCGGGCCCTTGGTGGGGACCTCAGGGTGGAAATCCTTGGTGGGGACCCTCATGGGAGCCCTGCGGGGCGGGGGGGCGGGCCGTGGGGGCAGCAGCGGTGAGGGCCGCCCGCCCAGCTTGCCGCCCGGCGCCCGTCTGCAAATGGCCCCGCGCCCCGCCGCTCCCCTCCAGGGCACCCATCCGCCTGGGCCTCCTGAGCCAGAGGAGGTTCCGCCTCTTTCTGCGGCTCCCCCCACCCCCCGGCACTGCCCGGGCTTTCTCTGCTCCCCCCTAGACAGGCCCCTCAGATTGGCGCTTGGGGTCACCGGGATGGCCCCACCGCCTGTCCCGCCACAGCACCTGTCCAACAGGCACCTCTCCCCACGTCCCTCTCCCGGCCGTGGGCTTTGCCCTCCCTGCCTGGGGTCCCCCCCTTCCAGCCCCTTACTGCTTCCCAGCCCCCGTCAGTCCCGGCCCGGCCCCCGGCCCGCCCACCTGGGGCCTGGTGTGCCTGTCCTGACGCTGGCCAGGCCGCCACCTGCCTCAGGGCTGAAGCTGCCCTGCGTCTCTGTCCTGGGACTGCGGCCAGCGCTCGGCCAGGGCGGGGCCTCGTTAGGTTGTGACAGGGTTTTGGGGCTGGGGCTGTGCTGCTCGTGAGGGAGGCGGAGGACTGTCCCTTCCCAGCCCTGGGTGGGCGGAGCCAGCTGTGTGACTGTGTGGCGCGTCTCTGTGCATGACTCTGGGTGCCATGTAGTTGTGTGTGGTGTGTCTCTGCGTGTAGTTGTGCTGTGTGTCTGTTTCTGTGTGTGCTGTGTGTCTGTGTTTCTTTGTGTTTATGTAATTGTGTGTATGGTGTCCCTGTGTGTCTCTGTGTTGTATAATTGTGTGTGTGTGCACATCTGGGTGGCGGCCACCGGGCTGAGGTGGGACCGGCTGACGGAACCTCAGGTCCCAGGGCTGTCGGGGACGCCGGCCCGGCTGCTGTGCCGGAGAGGCCGAGGTGGGGGCGGCCTCTGGCCTGGGAACGCCAGCGTCCCGAGGTGCCCGGAGGGGCTGGCTCCTTCGCGGTTTCCCTTTCTGCCCGTGGAGGGGCCTGGGCTGAGGAGAGTAGCCGTGTGACGGGGCTGGGGGCGGCGGGGGGGCAGACAGGCTGCGAGCCTCGGTCGTGGTGCGGGCCCAGGTCCCCCCAGCGTGGACGTCAGAGGGGGTGAGAGCGGCCCGCATACGTGGGTTCCTTGCCCTCAGCACCCCCAGGCCTAACGCAGCCTGGCCCCGAGAGCAGGTCAGGAGCCAGTGCCCTCCCTGCCGCCCAAGGAGAGAGAGGGGTCGGGGAGCCCCTGGCTGAGAGCAACGAGGGCTGTGAGCGCCCCTTCTCAGCCTGAGGTCCTGTGAGTCCCCACTCAAACCCGGGGACCGGCGAGCCCCTGATGGGAGAAAGGGGGGCCGACCCAGGGAGGCTGCTCCAGGGCCCGCGCTCCCCGGCCCACCTGGGCCATCTGTGCTGGGGCCCCGGGAACCCGGCCCCTCTGCGCCTCCCGGCCCTGGCTGCGCCGAAGGACGCACGGCGCACCGTGTGCGGCATCGGCCGCCAGTGCTCTGCGGCCCCTGCGTGTGGCCTCTCAGTCCCCAGGCCCCGATGCTGGCAGCTGGGCCCCCCTGGAGCTTTGCCCACGGCTCCACGCGGGCCTGCTCAGGGGCTGGCGTCCGTGTGGGCGGGCGGCTTCCCGGGACAGTGGCTCTGGAGTTCAGTCCTGCCCGGCTGCGAGCTCAGGGCCTGCGGGGAAATGAGGGGGCATGCAGGCGGGGGTGTGGAGCTCAGGGTGGGTGGTCCCACCCGGCTCCTCCAGGCTGCCATGCCCGCCCGCTCTCAGCAGGACGATGGGGAGGACAGGGAGAGGCTGACCTACTTCCGCAACCTGCCGGAGGCCCTGACCTCGCTGCTGGTGCTGCTGACCACTGCCAACAACCCCGACGGTGCGCGTGCGGCGGGCCGGCCTGGGGCTGGGAGGGGGTGGGTTACCGCCCCGTGGAGAGCCCCGTGGGGCTGCCTGAGGCCTGCCGCTCAGCAGGTGGACGCCTCGGTTCCCCTCCCTCCTGCCTTTCCTCCCTTTCCTCTCTCATTCTTTGTTTTCCTTCCCTTCTCACCTGCTTTCTCGCCCCCTCCTTTTCCTCTCTTCCCTCGCTCTCCTCTTTCCCTTCCCTCCTGACTCCTCTGAGAAGCTAAAAATGTGGTGATGAATGGCAGTGTGTTCAGGGTCCCCCCGCCCCCCCCGCCCCACCGTGGCCTCTCTCTGAGGCCTGGCCCACAGTGTGTGGGAGGCTCTGGGGTCTTGAGTGCCCTGGTGCCCCCCGGGGGCTGCTGATGGGGCCTCTGCTCACGCCAGGGCTGTGGCCAGGATGGGGTGCTCTAGTCCTTGGAAGCTCAGCCTTGGCCTGGCCGCCTGGACTGGGCTTTTTATCTCGAGCTCAGGGGTGATCACCAACCACAGAGACCTTCCCAGGAGGACAGTGGGACCCTGAGCCCTGTCCCCTGGTGTCCTGAGTGTCCCGGCGCGTCACCCAAGGGAGAGCTGAACTTGCAGTTGGTGGGGAGGGAGTGGTCTTGAGGGGCAGATTCCAGCTCAGCACAAGGGATGAGCGTCCTTGAAAGGTACCCCATCACCACGGGCGTGCGTGCGAGCAGAGGTGTGAGGATCGGGGCGGGGCCCAGAAGGCCTTTGGCTCTCCCACGCAGGGCCTGCCTAGGGAGAAGGCCTTGCCTCCGGGGCGAGGGCCGGGATGGGAGCAGCGCGAGGTGGGGAGCGTGTTCCAGGCTCTCCTATTTCCTCCTCAGTGATGGTTCCCGCGTATTCCAAGAACCGGGCCTACGCCATCTTCTTCATAGTGTTCACCCTGATCGGTGAGTGCAGGCGGGTCAGTGGGGGCGCCCGGGGGGTGACAGGGTCCAGAGCGCTGCCTGTCCCTGTGGCCTCGCCTCCCTGTGGCCCACTCCGTGGTTTGCAGCCTGTGACTGCTGATGGCTCCTGCCCTTGGCGCCCCCGGCCGGGCGGGCCGGCGGCACTGGCCTCGTGTGCACAGGACAGGGAGGCCAGGGGCGCGGCGCGCCCGGCCACACTCCCTGCCCTGTGGTCGCCCCCGGGTCCTCTAGGCTGGCACCCCTGGGGTTTGCCGTGTGACCTGCTGCACCTCCAGGCGCTGCCCCCGCCGCAGGCCCCCAAAGCCGCTGCTGCCCACTGACCGTGGCGTTTTCCTCTTGAAGGAAGCTTGTTTCTGATGAACCTGCTGACGGCCATCATCTACAACCAGTTCCGGGGCTACCTGCTGGTGAGCGGAGCTGCGCCCCTGGGGCCTGCGGGGCTGCGGAGCCGCTGAGCAGCCCTGTGTCCTGGCCAGTCCCATGTGGTGGTGGGGGGGCGGGGTCCCCAGGGGTCTCTGCACTGCCCTCGGGCTCCCTCTGGTGGATGAGCTGGAGCTGTGTCACATCCTGCTCCCTCGTCCCCACCGGTCCCCCCAGGGGTTCCCTCCCTTGTCCCCTTCCTCTAAGGGAAGCTGCAAGGAGATAGGGGCTCCCAGGGCCCCGACCCCGGGCCCTCTGTGGGAGAGCTGGGGACGCCAAGTGCGCGGAGAGGGAGCCCGTCTTAGTGGGTGACACAGCGGCTGGCGGCCGCACTCCTTTCTCTGGGACTGTTTCTCAGGCCCTGTGGGCTGAGGGGCTGCCGCACGGCCGAGGGTGGGCAGGGCACCCCCAGAGGCTGCCGGGGCCGAGGGGCCGTGCCGTCCTGGGTGGGCCGAGCTGGGTCCCTCAAAGGCGCCTTCCCTGCAGAAATCTGTCCAGGCCTCGCTGTTCCGGAAGCGGCTGGGGACCCGGGCCGCCTATGAGGTCCTCTCCACAACAGCGGAGGGGTGAGTGCGGGGCTCTGGACGGGGCCCCCTTTCCCGGGGATGTGGGGCCTGCTGCTGGGGGGGCAGCGATGTCCCCCGGGGGCTTCCTTAGCACCTCTGTCAAGCCACCTGTGGCCTCCGCTGCCCCCACTTGGTCATACCATCCAGGACTCCCACAGCTCTGGCGTCTGAGTTCTCGTGTGTGTCCTTGTGACCCCCTGTAATCTTGGGCTGCCAGGAGCCTGGCGGTGGTGCTTGCTCCCCCACCTGTGCCCCACGCGGGTGTCGGGAACAGAGGGACCTGGGCCCTGTGCCGCTGCGCCCCTGGTCGGGGGCCGCGTCAGCCTGCAAGGCTCCTGCCCCGGCTGCCTGAGTGCACTGCTTTGCGCCTCCTCTCCCAGGCAGCGGCCTGTCGCGGGGTTCTGTACTCTGGGAAGGTGGGGAGGCGCTGGCCCTCGCCCTGGGCGCTGAGCTCGTGGGTGTTTCCTCCCCACAGAGGAGTCGGGGTGAAGGCCCAGGCCCTCCTGCAGGTGCTGCAGCGGGTCCAGGTGGACAACACCCGGAAGCATGCCGTCATGCAGGTGCCGCCCCCCGCCCCCCGCCCTCCCCACCCTCCCCGCTCTGTGTTTCTGGGCCCCTCCCTGTGGCCCGGGGGGCCTGCAGTCCCCTTTTCAGGGCAGGGGTGTCATTTCAGCGAAGCTGGGGCTTGGCCAGCCAGGGGCGCCATGGGCAGCCGCCCCTTGCCCCGGGCCCCGCCTGCCCCGCCCTGGCTGGCCCGGCTGACCGGGGCGCCTGCTTTGCAGAGGGTGCGCTCCTATGGCAGTGGCCTGCTGTCAGCCGACGAGTTCCAGAAACTCTTCAACGAGTTTGACAAAAGGGTGACTAAAGAGGTAACTGGGACCAGGGCCGCCCAGGAGAGTGGGGAGGGTGCAGGGTCTGTGGGCGTTGACCGCCTGGGTGACGTCATGACCAGCACCCGCACTGGCCTGCCCCGGGTTCAGGCCCCGGGCTGGGGACTGGGAACCGAGGCAGTCGGCTGTCGGAAGCTGGGAGGTGTGGTCGACCTCAGGAAATCCACAGGAGACCCCTCCACATTGGTTTTTCGTCTCCAGGGCAGAACTTCCCCTCTTCCCCTGTGTCCTTTCCTGGGAGGGTCCTGAGTTTGTCTGAAGCCTCGGTCTCCTGTCCTGACCCTGATTTGTAAAGCCACCTGAGGGCCCTTGTCCTGCTGCCCCCGCTGCCTGCATTTTAGGTTGCGGGTCAGCGGGGGGCAGTGCGCGGAGGTGCCGGGTGGAAGTGTGTGCGGGCAGTTGGTGGGGGCGCGGAGGTGTCTGCGGGCCATTTGTGGGGGTGTGGTGCTGCCCCTCAGCTGCTCAGCAGACCTAGAGCCCGCCACCTGCTGGCCGGGCCGTGCACAGCTCTGCGGCGCCCTTGAGTCAGCCCTGCTGCCAGGACAGCGGCCGCAGCCCAGGGGCCTGAGCAGCAGGGTCTGCTGTCTCCTAGTCCCAGAGGCCGGAGACCCAGCTTCACCCCAGGCCTCTCTCCTGGGCGCTCAGACGGCCAGCTCCTCCCTGTGTCCCCACGTGGCCGTCCCTCCCTACGTGTCTTTCCCGACCTCCCCTTCTTATAAGAACCCCAATCTCACGGGATGAGGCCTTCCCCAGTGACCTCTCGCCTAGCACCTCTCTGAAGGCCCTTTCTCTGAACACAGTGACATGCTGAGGGCCTGTGGGTCAGGGCGCAGACAGCGGAATTTTGGGGACATGAGTCCGCCTGTCACAGTTGCCAGCTTTCCAGCACGCACGTCCGCCTCCGTGGCCCCAGCTCCCTTTGGGAGCTTCTTGGATTCCCTAAAGCCTTTCCAGGTTCCCTGAGCCGGGCCCTACGTGGCCTGCCATCCTGTGGGGTGTCCCCCTCTCAGCGACGTTCTTCCGTGGGGCACGGGCGATGGTCACGGGGACACCGGCTGTCCACGGCACTCCGGGTTGGAGTCCAGAGCTGTGACCTGAGGTGGCAGTTTGGGTCCAGAGGCTTGCGGGGCTGTGCTGGTGGCTGGGGCCAGGCCGGTGCCTGGTGCCTGGTGCCTGGTGCGAGAGGCCCTCCCGGGCCCTCGGTGAGGAAGCCTGGCCTCGGGCTCACTGCCCTGCAGAGTGGGCGTGGCCGGGGCCTTGGCAGCCGAGAGGCAGGCGGTTGAGAAGCAGCACAGCCAGTTGGGACCCCGCTTGGAAGCACCCCTCTGTTCTGCTTGTCTCAGCGTGTCCCCCGTGATTGCGGGCACGCGTGTGTGTGAGCCTGAGAAGTGCTTTTCTTTGACGCCATGGAGGTGACGAGATTTCCCCTCTGCATGTCCTCTCTCTCTCAGCGGTGTCTCCTAGGTCGTCCCGTGTCCTTGAGGGTGGAATGTTCTCACTCTGCCTCCCCGACGCGGTGGCCACAGGCCACGTGTGGCTGCCGAGCCCCTGAGATGCGACTGGTGTGAAGAGCACTGAGTGTTTACTTGAATTGGGTGTAAATTAAACGTCCCTGGCTGGGCCCGTGGGCACAGGCGCGGCCCCGTCCACTCAGGCACCACGGGGTGTCCCCTGCTGGCTGTCCCACGCGGCGCTGCAGGGGTTGACCTGCGCCGCGTCCCAGGGCTTCCACGTCTGTGTTTTTGCCAAATTGCCCTCTGTCACTTTCTGCTCCTGTCTGTCCGTCCATGGGGTTCCTTTGTTCTGCGTTCAGTTTTCGTAGTTCCCAGTGTAGGACTTTCTGGTGTTTTTTTACGTAGCATTTTTCACACCGTGGCCCGCGCTTTGCAGGCACCTGGGTAGATGCTGTGTGACGTGCCCTCGTGGGTCCCTCCGGCGGCAGCAGCGCCTGGGTTGCGTCTGCCCCCTGGGCTGATAGAGGCTGGAGGGACACGTCCGTGGGTGTGACCGCTGCTGTCAGAGCTGATTCCCTGGGGTGGGCAGACTGGGGTAGGAGACCAGGCAGGGAGACGTCGAACCCCAGAGTAAGAGGGCGTGGGTCACGCTGGGCCCCCAGTGGCCACGGCCGCCACGGCCCATGGTTCTGAGCGCGCGTTCCCTCCCAGCACCCGCCGCGGCCCGAGTACCAGTCCCCGTTTCTGCAGAGCGCCCAGTTCCTCTTCGGCCACTGCTACTTTGACTACCTGGGGAACTTCATTGTCCTTGTGAACCTCGTGTCCATCTGTGTGAGTGTGGGCGTGCCCTGGAGCGCGGGGAGGTGCCGCACCCCCGCCCCGCCCCTGACCGCCTGACCGCACCAGCCCCCGCCCGCCGGCTCTGCAGGTGTTTCTGGTGATAGACGCGGACGTGCTGCCCCGTGACCGCGATGACTTCATCCTGGGGGTGAGCGCTGAGGCCACTCAGCTGTCCAGCCTCTGCTGGGGTGACAGGGAGCAGAGTGAGGGGCTCCGGGCTGCTGGGGGCAGGGCCATTCTAGGGCCGGGTGACTTGTTCTGTCGTGGAGTCGCCCGGGGTGGGAGGCTGTGGGTGGGGAGATGGGTGCAGGCCGGGGAGCCAGGCGTGGCGGCCCCAGTGAGCCCCGAGGAGTCCGCCTAGCGGGGCAGACTGCCGAGGGAGGCCATGTAGAGAGAGAGCTGGGGGCCGCGAGGGTTCAAGGGGCCGAATGCCGGCGGGTGAGGCCAGGGAGGCCAGCGGTGCTGGGCCCGGTTGCCGAGACCTGCTGGCCCTTTCAGATTCTCAACTGCGTCTTCGTCCTCTACTACCTGGCGGAGATGCTGCTCAAGGTGTTTGCGCTGGGCCTGCTGGGGTACCTGTCCTACCCCAGCAACGTGTTCGACGGCCTCCTCACCATCATCCTGCTGGTAAGGCCTGGGGTGTCCTGGGGTGGCCGGGGTGGCCTCTCCGAGCGGGGGCGTCGCGCTGCGGCCCACGTCAGGCTGCCCGGGGGCCCGGGGGTCACGGGAACTGGGGCCCTGCCTCGGCCAGCGGCTGGGGGGTGGCTGGCGGGGCTACACGAGTTCCTGCGGCACCTGGGCCCCGATCCCGAGGGAGGCCTGAGGGAGCCCGTGGCCCTCATCGGCCCCCCAGCCCCCGGGCAGCCTCGGACGCCGCGAGGGGCAGTGGGCCCTTGACGTGGGCGGAGGGAGGGCAGGAGGGTCTCAGGACGTGTCCCGTCTCCTTCCCCAGGGCCCGGGGGTGGGAGTGAGGGTCGCGCCCCGTGTGTATCAGCTGCGGTATCAGGCGACGTGTATCCATGTTTGACCGAGGGGAGCCATGGGCCCCTGGGGGCAGCAGCGGAGATCGCCTGAGGAGGCCTTTTAGCCTGGTCGATGGGGCGGCCGCTCCCTTGCTCGGGACGAGTGCAAGCCCTGACTGCTCCTGAGACCGCACGCCTTTGTCAGCCTTGGGAAGTCCCCGCATTTGGAACCGACCCACAGGGACAAGGACCGAGCTCCGACTGCTCCCCGCAGCCCCTTCTGGGGAGAACGTGTTAGACTGAGCTTTATAACCCACTGGAAAGCTGCCTAGGGTGGCATTGCTGTAGCAATGCCTTCTTTTCTTTTGTAATTGAAGGTTTTGGAGATTTCAACTCTGGCTGTGTACCGATTCCCACACCCAGGCTGGTACGTGACCGCAGGACGGGGGGAGGCTACAGCAGCCCGCGCCCGGCCGGTGCCCCAGGGAAGGGCGCCCCGCCGCCTGGCCAAGCCCGCTCGCGCGGGCCGCTGGGGCTCGCCCAGCCTTAGGAGAGCGGGCCGGTCGGAGCGCTGCGCCCTTGCCCCCCGGGGCGCCTCCAATGTTTCCTGGCCGCCTTCCGAACGCAGTCCCTAGAGCGGAGGCAGGACGCCGTCAGGGTGCCCTCCAGCAGCCGTGGGCCCAGCCCCCGGCACCAGGCACAGTGGAGGGGCCCTGCAGGCGGAGCGGAGAGGCCCCGGCTTGGGGCTGGCTGACCGCAGGCCCTGCAGCTGGGCTGCAGTGCCCCTGTGGCTCAGAAGTCCTGTGACTTTGGGTCTGGGCCTCGGTTTACCTCCTTGTAAGACGGCGGGGATGGGCCCGGGGCTCACCTCTCTCCTGCCGCGGTGCCAGCCCCCGTGCCTGGTTCTGGCCACACAGAGGGAGCCGGGCAGGGTCCCAGGACACCTTGCCGCGCAGCCATGGTGGCCGTCGGGTTGAGCTGCCCGGAACACAGCCGCCCCAGCCGGCCCCACGCCGGCCTCGGCCCTGGGCGGCCCCAGTCTGTGGCTTCCCTGTGGGGCGGAGCGGCCCGAGGGGCTGCTGCTGTCCAGGGCCCCCCGCGGGAGCAGCTGGGCTGGGGAGGGTTTTCTCAGGGAGACAGTCGGGGTGGCGTGGCCCTTGCCAGGTGGCCGGGCCTCCGCGGGGCTGGCTCTCCTGTGTCGGACGCGCACTCTGGTCGGAGAACCCTGGGGCTGCCCCCGTCGGGGGACTGGGTTTTCACTGGAATGGGGACGGCAGCGTGGTGAGGCCGTGGGGGACGCCTGGGGACGGTCGCGGGTCGGGACCAGTTAGAGGATGGGGACAGGGTGGGACAGGAGGTGGGATCGGGAAGGAGTCGGGATAGGACGTGTGGTTAAGGGGCAGGGAGAAGGTCAGGGGATGGAGAACCAGGAAGAGGCTCAGGGGTCAGGAGATGGGGCCAGGTTAGGGTCGGGGTTGGAGGAACGGCTCAGGGGTAGGGTGTGTGGTCACGGGGTCGGGGCTGGGGTCGGGGCCCAGGCTCCCAGTTCCGCTGGGACCTGAGTGGGGGCGTCGCGGGTCTGGACCCTCAGTTGTCTCCTGCGTACGATGGAGGGCCGGCGAGTCCTGCGCCACCGGGAGGGGCTGTGCCGTGGCAGGTGCCCTGGCCACTGTGGGCCTGGGCGGCGGGCGTGGCCTTCGGGCTCTGCCCTTTTGTCGTGGGGTCGCCCTCCCAGCTCTCGCTGCACCCATCGTCCTCTCTGCCTGTCGACCGCGTGGGTCCCGCCTGCCCCCCGGGGTGGGCGCCCTGCGCCTCTCGCGACCCCGCCCCGCATGTCTCCCCAGGAAGCCGGAGATGAAGGGCCTGCTGTCGCTGTGGGACATGGTGCGTCTGGTGAACATGCTCATTGTGTTCCGGTTCCTGCGCATCGTCCCCAGCATGAAGGTGCGTGGCACGGCCGGCCCCACTGCCCGCCAGCCGCACACACGGATGCTGGTTCGTGGGCGGGGGCCTGGGCAGGGAGGCTGGGCCTTCGGCGTGGGCTCCTCAGTGGCTCCTGGGGGGAGGAGCAAAGCCAGGACTGACCGCAGTGGTCATTCCAGGCCCGCGGTGTCACAGGGGCGGGGTCCCTGCTCTGTCTGTTCCCTCAGGGACTTTTTAGGAGGAGACGTTGAGGGTACCAGGCCCATTCTGAGTGCCCAGGCCGCTCCCCTGCGCACACCGGCACTCATTACCAAGCTGTCACCTGTGACCTCGCCGTGTTACCCGTCCGGGGGCAGCTCAGGGGCCTGGGTGCAGGTGGGGGCTGCTGCGCTGAAGCCTCTGTGCACGTATCACACCCGCACACCCGCGATCATACATGTGCATATGTACACAAGCACACATAGGACCGCAACCTACATAATCACATGTGATCACACAGACACATGGCACATTTGCAACCACATCTAAGTATACACATGCAACAACACATCACACACATCACTACAGGTTTTGTTACGTATGCACATGCACCTAGCAACGCATATGCATGTAACTGACACAATTACACAATACATACATGTAGTCATACCTGTGTGCCCAATGTATGCCTGTGCACCTACTGTACACATACACATCTTGCACCCCCCCCCCACAGTCACTGCGCAGGTGCATAGTCACTGCACATGTGCACACAGTCACTGCATGCATGTGTGCACATATGCCAGCCCCCGCCCGCTGGCCCCCGGCGTGGTGACGTTCTCACGTACCAGGGGGTGAGTGGGCTTAGGTTGCATGTGGGGAGCAGCCCCAGGGCCAGGGTGCCTGGCTGTGTCCTGAGGCCCCTCTCAGAACCGGTCACGGGGGGCCGACCTGGGAACCTGGGAGCCTCCGACCGAGGCGCTGACCCAGCCCCCACGGGCTGGCGGACCGTGCAGCCTGCGCTGCACACGGGGCTTCGCCACAGGGACGCGGTGCCCGCGCCCACCTCAGGCACCTGCGGCTGGGCCGGTGAGGGATCTGGCGTGTGGGTGAGCGAGTGTGTGTGGGTGGGTGTGTACAGTGAGTGTGTAGGGGTGGCTGTGGGCTGTGTGTACAGGGGTGTGAGTTGGTGGCAATCCACCTGCCTTTCTGGGGGAGAGGCATGGGCAGGGTTGGCGCCACCGCCGTGGGGACCAGGAGGAACAGGGCTCCGCTCTCTCCCTGCCCTCAGCTGATGGCCGTGGTGGCCAGCACCATCCTGGACCTCATCAGGAACATGCGGGCTTTCGGCGGGATCCTGGTGGTGAGTCTGGCGCCGTGCGGGCCGCAGTGGAGGTCCCGTGGGAGCAGGGGTCCCGTGGGAGCAGGGCTCCGCGAGGCCGAGCGGCCGGCGCTGGGCTGGCTGCTCGGGAGGGGGGACTGTCCCTGCGAGGGCAGGAGCCCGAGCGTCTCCTGCTGCCAGAGAGCCTCCCGGTCACTTTCCAACCCCTCCCGTTTTCTGGGTCATGGGACCCACTGAAAACTGACAAAAAGAAGTGCAGGAGGCCCTTGGGGCCCAGGTGTGGTTTGGGTCGCCCCCCCGCCCCTGCCCTGCCCGGGGTGATTTCAGGAGCTCCTGGAAAGGTGACGCGCGGGACCCCGCCCCGCCCCACGGTCTGCTTTCCTGAGCTGCTGGCGGCCCTGCCGGGGCCCAGCCGGGTTGGCCGGGGTGCGGGTGGCGCCCTGCGGCTGCTCTAGGCACAGGGCCCGCGGGCAGGGGCCGCAGCGGTGAGCGCGGTGCCGAGAGCCCTGCTGCGTAGATGCGGCTGCGGGCGGCCTCGTTGCTCTGCACTTCGAGCACCACCACCGAGCACCACCACAGGGGCTGGGGAGCCACCTGGGAGGGGAGCCCCGGGCCCTCTGGGCTTGTCCCAGGAGGCTGGAAATGGGGTCTTGCATCAAGCTTGGCCCCCCTTCCCCAGACAGACCCCTGTTTGCACATTGCAGGAAACTAAGGTCCAGAAGGGGACTGGCTTAGCCCCCTTCTCTCTGCACATTAGGCAGGGGCCGGGGGCAGCAGCAGCTCCCCCCGTCAGGCTGCCTGATGGTGCTCCTGGGCGCCCCCTGGGGGTCGTGGGGAGCACAGTGCGACTTCCTCCTGGATGGTCCTGGCCAGGCCTGGCGTCCCACCTGTCCCTGGGACCACCTTATGGCCCTGCTGTCGGTGGCGTCCTCCTCACCCTTCCCCGTCCTGGCGGAGGGGCAGGCGGCCTGGGCTTCCCCGGCCTCGCCTGGGGTCCCAGGGTATCTTTGGGGCCCCCTGGGGTGGCTCCTCCTCCTCCCCTCTGGTGCTTGTCCTGTGCGTGGGGGCAGGGCGGTGCTGAGGAGGGGGTGCCTGGGAGCAGGACCCCGGTGCTGGGGGTGCGGCCGGGCTGCGAACCCTGGAGCCTGACGCCTGTGGGAGCCGAGCCGACCACAGCCCTGGCCCCCGCAGGTGGTGTACTACGTCTTCGCCATCATCGGCCTGAACATGTTCCGGGGCGTCATCTTGGCTCCCCCCGGGAACGGCAGGTGAGGTGGGACCCACAGGCGCTGAAGGCGCTGGAGGGCGGCGCGGGTCAGCTCCCCAGGAGGGGCTTCCGGTTCCTTCCCTTGCGGAATTCCTTGCTTCCCCTGCCCTCCCCTCCCTGCCCACACCTCTGGCCTAGAGTCTGAGTGTTCCCGAGCCTGCCCAGAGCAGCCCCCCGCTCGCTGGCCCTCGAGGCCCCGAGCCGGCTGAGGGGTCCGCAGGTGGAGCTGACTGCAGCTTCGAGAGGCCCCGCCGGCCCCTCCTGGGCCCGCGCCCCTCGCCTCGCTGCCCCCTCACCGCCCCTCGGGAGGCCGGGGCACTTCTCCTTTCTCCCGCCCCTCGGGGGCCCAGAGAGGGCTGCACGCCCTGCAGGGGCTGCGGTGGCCAGTGCCCCGCCCTGACCCGGCTGTCCTGTCCCCAGCCTGGCCCCCGGCAACGGCTCGGTGACCTGCGGGAGCTACGAGCAGCTGGAGTACTGGGCCAACAACTTTGACGACTTTGCGGTGAGCCCCTCCCCTGCCCCCCGGGACCCCGCCTCCCCGCTGCCCGCGCCCTGCTGGACCGTGTCTGCTGCCCACAGGCCGCCCTGGTCACGCTGTGGGACGTCATGGTGGTGAACAACTGGCAGGTGTTCCTGGACGCCTATCAGCGCTACGCAGGCCCGTGAGTGACACCCTCGTCACAGCGCAAGGCGCACGTCCTGGGCCCCGGCCCGTGACTCTGGGTTGCGCCTGGCCCTGCAGGGGTGTGTGGGAGGGGCAGAGGCCCCGGAGACACCACCAGGCAGTGTTGGGGGGGGGCTGGGTGGAGGGGTTCCGCCTGGAGCTCAGGTCAGCCCCGGGGACGGCCCGGCGTCCAGCCTCTCGCTGGCCCTGCTCCCTGGGCGTCTCCCCGCCTGGCTGTCGGCGTCCGTGTGGTCGTCTCTAAAACAGGAACATTTTAGGACTGCCGGGCGGGACGCAGAGGGACCCCGTCACGGGGCGCCGCGGTGTCTGTGCTCCTTGCGCGACCTCGCTGGCTCATGGTGGGCCCTGGGCGGGCCTCCCTTGCGTCCTTTGCAGGTGGTCGAAGATCTATTTCGTGCTGTGGTGGCTGGTGTCGTCTGTCATCTGGGTCAACCTGTTTCTGGCTCTGATTCTGGAGGTACAGAGACCCTTGCCCGCTGCCCTGGACCGGGGTGCGAGAGCCTGTGCCGGGTTCAGGGGCCCTGAGCTCAGGCTCTGCCCGCCCCTGGGGCTCAGCACAGCTCACCTGGCTGCTGGGAGGGCCTTGCTTGCGGTGCCCCTGACCTTTGACCTGTGGTGTCCCAGACCCTGGGCAGGGGCTGGAGGGTGGAAGGGGCCTCTGGAAAGCAGCCTGCTGTCTGTCCTTCTGTCCAGGATGCACTGGGCCCCGGCGGTGGGGGGGTGGGGGTGGCGGGCGAGGCTGGTTTCATGCAGAGCCCACGCCCACTGGCCTCCCTCCACCCTGCCTGCCTCCCAGAACTTCCTTCACAAGTGGGACCGCCGAGGTCACCTGCAGTCCCTCTCCGGGGACCTGGAGGCCACCTACGAGATAAGCACCGTGGACCTCTTGTTCAGGTGTGTGGGTGGCGGGGCCCCTGCTCGGCCCCTGGGGGAGGCGGGCGCGGGACATGCGGGAGCTACAGGCGGCCCCTGGGACAGCGACCCTCCCGTAGCCCGGGCCCCGGCCCCGGCCCCCGCCCCCCGCCGCCGAGGGCTCCACGCGGTGCAGGGGCCGAGGCGGCCGTGTGGGGTGCCAGTGGGGCCAGCGTCCGGGTCAGGCCCGTTGCGTCCTCTGCTCCCGCCGCCCAGGCCGCCACCTCGTCCGGGTCTCCAGTCAAGCGTGTTTAAGGGGACCCCCCCCCCGAGGTTCCATCAGCCCTCAGGTGATTCTGCTGGGGGATGGGAGCAGGTGGCCCGAGCAAACCTACTCCACTTCTCTCTGTGGCGCTTGGCTCCTCTCCCGGCACAGAAAGGGGCCGAGTGTCCCGGCGACAGCCCAGCTCTGGGCGCCGGTCTCCCCCGTGGGCGTTGCTGCCTTGGCACAGCCCTTTTCGGTCCACCGCCAGCAGTGCTCTCCGCCCTTGCCCGGGCTTTTAAGAGCGCCAAGCACCCATCCTGAAGCTGTGCCCAAGTGCCCGGGTCCCCAGGCCCTGCCACGGCCCCTGTGTGCGTGTCCCTGAGGTTCCCCCCGACAGCGAGCAGGGATGGAGCTTCCCCCGAGCTCTGCACGTGTTCCTCCGAACCCAGAGCCCGCTGAGCCCTTCTCCCCGCTTCTGCAGGGAGGTCCTGGAGGAGCCGACGGAAGAGGAGCTGATGGAGAAGCTGAAACATCATCCCCACCTGCAGCTGTGCAGGTGACGTCCAGGTGCGCCTTCCCCGCAGGGGCGGCGGATGGCGGAGCTGCCTGGGGGCCGACGCCGGTCCTGGGGAGAGGCGTGCGGTGGCCCGAAGGAGAGACTTGCCCTTGGACGAGCCCCTCCGCTCACCTGAGGCTGCGACAGAGCCGGGGCCCTGCCCTGCACGCCGCCCCGTGGACCTGCCGGCAGCCCCGTCCACAGCGTCTCGGGATGGCCAGCGCTTGGGGCAGCGCCCAGACCATGTCACTGCGCCGTGCGCGCGGCTTTTACTTGTCTGAACTCGGAGAGAGGGCGACTCCGCGGGGACCTTCACGACGGCCCAGCGAGCAAGGAGCAGCAGCCCCCTCGTGCCCTGCAGTGTCTGCGGTGCCTTCGCTGCCGGTGGCCATCAGGGACTGGGGCCCCGCGGGGCCCACGCAGGCCCCCGGCAGCTTTTCCAGGCCTTCGAGCTCGGGGTCCTGGCGGTTTCATGGGAAGTGAGTCCCGACTGTTTACCACTGAATGGCTTGTGTGAGCGTGATCAGGTGTGCCTCCTTTCGGGTCAGATGCCACTACCGGTGAGTCTGCGGAGAAGGAGCTTGTCGCCCCTGCCTCGACGCAGCGCCGGGCCGGCGTCTCCCGGGCCAGCTCCCGGGGAGGGGGGTTTGGGTTGTGGCCGCCTGGGTGTTCGCTGGCACAGGGCTGTCTGCTTGAGGCCAGGGGCGCCTGTGTGTAGTTTACATAAAGACATGGATGTGCCGGAGTGGCCCTCTGGTGTGTCCTCAGGCGCGTGGTGGGGGAGGCAGGGCGCGGGGAGTGGGCTGTGCGCGGCTTCACCCTGGGAGCGGGTCACCTCTGCCTTCTCTGTCCAGGACGTTTCAGTAAAAAAGTAACTTCTAAAACGTCGTGAGCCCCAGGGCTCGGGGTTTTGTAAACTCTGGTGATGTCTTAGTGTATCGTGCACGTAGTAGTGTCCGGTCCTGGAGTTCATCTGAAATCCCTCAGGTTTGGGGAACTTTGGGGGCTATGAGGACACCCCCAGAGCCGCCCCCTCTGCAGGCTGCCTTTCTGGAAGGCAGGTTTGGGGTGGGGAGGACTCACGGAGCAGTGGGTTAGAAGTCTGAGACCATTAGGCCTCTGAGGGCCAGGGCTTGGCGCCACCTAGTGGCCAGATAGGGTTCCGTGGACCTTATTGCACCCTGGGACCCCTAGAGATGGCTCCTCCGTGTCTCTCTCCCTCCCTCCCTCTCTCTCTCTCACTTGCTGTGGCCCTGCCCAGGGTCTGCGCTGCAGGCTCCTCTGCCCGCAGGGAGCCTGGATCCAGTGGGCACTCGCCGGGGGGGATGTCCCGTGCAGGTGCCTGCGCTGGCGCCAGGGGTCCACCCGCCCTGTGCGTGTCTCATGTGCAGAGAAGCCTCCCCGATGTTTGCCATCACAAGGCAGCTGGACAAGCTGCCCTGGGCTTGGCACGGGCAGCTGAAGCTGGAGCGGCCGCTCTGGTGCCTGGTGACCCTGGGCGGGGCTCCTGCAGGTGCTCTGGGGGTTCTCTCCCTCCGTTTCAAACGGCGTCAGCCTCTGAGCCTTTGTTCCAAGGAGAACGGTCGCTGAACCGAGCCCGGCATGGCTGCCGGTTCAGGGGGCCGGGGCCGCTGCGGGGGCCTGTGTGCAGTGCCCCGTGTCCCTGCCCTGGGGCCACCCCGCTGCTTGGGGGCAGATGCGCTGAGAAGAGCGTGTGCTCTCATCCCAGCCCGCGAGGCCCTCGTGGGTCCCCCGTGGCTGCCTGTGGCCATGGTGGCCCTGGCTGGGGCATTGGGGATGGGGATCCGTGCAGTCACCCAGCAGAGCAGCACAGCGGGGACACCCGGGCCTGGGTCGCTGCCCTGACGGAGGGAAGGTGGATCCCTGTGGCCTTCGGCATGAGGGGAAAACTTGAAAACAGCATAGCGAAGAAAATGGTGATGAACGTCACACACTTAATGTAAAACTTTGATGGACACCGTAGACAGGCTGGTCGCAACCTGAGGAAACGTGTTTGTACCAGGTACAGCTGATTACGGACTTGCACCTGCACCACGTGAAGAGCTCCTACGAATGAGCAGGGGAAAGTCGAGCCCTAGGAAAAAACGGGCTTGACCTTGCCTTTCACAGAGAAGCCAGACCCCCGCGGTCACGCGAGGAGACGCTCCGCCTCTCTGGTCGTCAGCGCCGTGCGGAGCGAGACCTCGCTGCCACGCGTCTCCCTGTGTCTCAATGGTCAGCGTTGAACCAGTCTGACCGCTCGCGCGGTTGGAGCTTTTCGAGGTACTCGGAGGGATGGTAAATGGACGCAGCCTCTTGGGAGAATAGTTTGGCACCCTTTTGGGTAGCTGAGCAGGACACACCTTGTTCTGAGAGACCCCGGCCCGTGTGCGCCCGGCCGTCGATGTTCAAAGGGCAGCGTGAGCCCCCGCAGAGAGCTGGGCACAGCTCGGATGTTGCCGACGGGCGCACACCGGTCCCGGTCCACTGCCGCGATGGAATATTACACGGCGCGGAACACGGATAAGTTCCGTGCCTCGCAGAACTACACGAAGGAATCTTAGAAACACAGCGTTGAGTGAACAAAGCAAGTTCCAGAAGATTCCACACAACAAAGCATTATTCATGTAAAATTCAAAGCCAACGTCCCATCATCTCCCGTACAGTCCTGCACCCTGACAGTGGGTTCCCTTAGGCGCGAGGGCACGAGAGCGTGTGGTCCCACAGAGGGGCCACCTCGGGAGACGGGAACAGTGGGAGAGGCGGCGTGCGCACGTCCGGGGGCGGGTTCCCCATTCCTGGGCCCTGCGGGGTTCACGGTCGTCGTGTTAAGGACTTTATGACATAGATTCATGTCACACGTTTTCTTTCGTACGTGCTAAATACTAAAATACAAAAGGAGAGGACCAGAGGGGAGGCGTTGAAGACAAGGAGTTTGGGCGGCTCCCCCGGGGAGTTGTCCTGCAAAGGGGGGTGGCGACCTGGGGGTGATAGTTGGAGGGGCGGGGGCTCGGCGAGTTCGGGCTGTTGCCTGGCGTGTGGTGGGGGCGGCAGGGCGAGCCCAGGCTGCGGTGGGCGCGCCGGCGGGCGGTGCGGGGGGTCCCGGGAGCCTTGGCCTTGAGTGGGCGAGGGCAGTGGACGGAGGCAGGAGGCGCGGGGGCGAGGGGCCGGATGGGCCAGCTGCACCTGGGGTTACTCCAGACTTGCGGGCCCAGCATTGTCATGGGAGAGGCAGGGCCACGGAGGTGCTTGCCCGGGTCCCTCCCACCCACCGTCCAGGCCCTGGCAGCTGGACGGGGGCCGGGCCCGGCCCAGTCTGTCGCTGGGACCCGAGAGCGGACGGAGCCCTGGCGCATGGGCCGGGCCTTTCATGTGGTCTGCTCCGCTCAGCACAGCAGGGAGGCGTCTTGTCTTTCACCGAAGCGGCCAGGGTTTGGTTTCCCGCCTCGGAGATAATTGTTGGTTCTTATTAAAAGGTTAGAACAATTCCTTGCTTAAAAGGACGTGGAAGGCAGGCCCACCGCACTGCTCCTAAACCTCACAGAAGGGGGTGGGTGTGCGACGACACCCTCACATCAAAGCGGCAGCAGGCGCCGCGGTAGCGGCGTCCCCGGCCCTCTGGCCGCCACAGCGGCCGGGCTGTTCTCCTGGTAACACGATCGGAGCTGCGCCCGGCGGTGGGCCCGCACCTGCGGGGCCGGGTGCTGCGGCTGCCCGGGACCCGCAGCGGTTGGCTAATCTGCTGAACACCTGTCGGCAGGTGAGCCAGACCTGCCTCGCCTGCCCCCCTGGCCTTTAGTTTTTTCCTCGCAGGCCTGAGGGGTGGACAGGGGCCGGCAGTGGCAGAGTCCTAGCGGGAGCCGCGTTGTGTAGCTGCACGCACTGGGCCGGCGGGGGGCGGGGGCGCAAACGCCAGCAAAGGCGCAGCAGGTGGGGCCCTGGCCTTCACGGGGCCCGGCCGTCTCCCCCAACTTCGTGATTCCGTGCTCTTGCTGCCGCACCCCTCGACGAGCCCTGCGCTGCAGTGGGGTGCTCCTGTCCCCTCCTTCCGATGGCCCCAGGGCCTGGTGGTGCTTGGGGTGTAGCTGGTGCTCAGCGAGTGCCTGAGTGGACACCTAGAACAGGTGTGTGACGTCAGACATGAGCACTTGCTCTTCATGGATGTGTGGGGGTGACGGTGTGCTGGGCGCAGAGCTGAAGTGGGATGAAAGTAAAAAAACCCGGGCCCCGGGGAGGGGGGTGGGCAGGAAGAGGCTGCCTGCAGGCCAGCACAGAGCTTCCTGGCAGCCATAGGGAAAAGGGAAGGTTTCTGCCAGGTGGTTGGCAGGCTATGTCTGCACCAGCCCGGGGAGGCTCGGTGGGCTTCCTGGTGGAGGCGCGCTAAGCAGGGCTTGGCCAGGGGAGGAGCCACCCAGCCTCCGGTGCGCCTGGCCCTGGGCTGGGACGCCTCTCCCAGGAATTGGGCTGGGAGTCTTCTCAGCTCTGGTTTTGTCACTGCCTGTTTTGAAGGCTAATTGTGGGGACCCTGGGAAGCGAAGGATATAGAAGCACCTTCTAGTCTGTGGTGCAGCTTACACACAAGTTGTCGGCGTTTCGTTTCTCATGAAGGTGCTCTTGGGAATAACGTAACAGAGGTAATTAGTAACAAGAAAAGCCATGTTTCTGAGGCCTTGCCTTGTCTGTGCCAGAGACTGTGGGAGCCGTGGGCAGCGCGGCACTGACAGATGGAGACACCGAGGCACAGAGAGGCTGCTTTACTTGCTCTGGGCCCCCCAGTGGGTAGAGGCATCGCCTGGTCCTGGCCCGGCCTCCCTTCCTGGTGGTGCCTGAGTGTCGGGGTTTGCTCCTGCAGGAAGCACTTGCTGAGAGACTGTGGCTGCGCCAGTTCCGCAACGCAGGACGGCCCCTCCCTGCATGCGGGAAGGCCTCCGCAGTCTGCATGGGCTCTGCGTGTCCCCGCAGAAGGGGGTGGGGACAGGGATGACGAGGGGACGCTTCGGTGGGCAGGCTGGGCTCCCGGTGACTCCCTTCCATCTCAGCCACTGTCCCAAGTGGCTCAGGGCGCCTGGAGTCCTCGGGCGCCTGGGCCCCACCTGCTGCTTGCGGTGACCTCGTTTGGGGAAGGAGGCAGGTGGGCGGCTGGAAGGATGTCGCCCAGAAAGCCGATGTGCCAGACCCAGGGCGGAGTTCCCGCATCGGGCCCAAGGCTCCGCCATGCAGCTCCCGTAGGCGGGTCCTGGTCTCAGGCCCCGGCCCTGGGACGGGGTCCCTTTGCCGGGAGTGAGAGGGGATGGAAGTGACCTTGTGGGGCTTTGGGGACCTAAAGGGGTCCAGGTGAGTTAAAGCGCCTGCTTGGTGCCCAGCCTTCCCTGACGAGGCTGCTGCCCACGGGGCGGGGGAGGGGTGGCCGGCGCCCCCAGTGAGCCCCCGGCGATGCTGGCGGCCCCCCGGTGCCGCTGTCCTCGCCCAGCACCTGGCAGGCAGGGCCTGGGCTGGGCCGGCTTCTCTCCCTACGGGGCGCCCAGCACCAGCCAGGGCCCTGTTTCGGGTGAGCTGTGTGCCGTCCGATGAAGCCTGAGCCCCACCCGCAGGGGTGGGCACCAGGGAGGCGGCTGTGATGCCTGCGCGGCCCCAGC